GAATTTTCCTTTTTCTCATTAGGAAGTAAATTTGATAGTTTTGATCAAATTAGTTAATTTCTTCCTTTTTGCAATTTTCAATGCCCAAATCTCCTGTATAAATATTCTTGATGTCACATTGCAAAAGGTTTAGAATTCAATACACGCACTGTTATTCTCTCAAAATTCTATCTCGTTTATTTAGTACTATTACGGTGGTGTTGGCTCACCGTCCAACTACCCTAAGCCTTAAAACAAACATTATTATTATTATGGAAAGAAAACATAATAATAATGGAAAGATTAAATGTTAATCGGCATTGTGCCTCCTAGTTTTGAAATTGACTTTGTAATGATAATACCCCGTACAAACTCTATATTTTCACCATTTATTTTGGGATACACTTGTATAAGAGAATCAACTACACTTGTACATGTGTAGTGAAATGTGGGTGATGCGAAAAGCCTAGAAATTTTTGTTTTTTTAATTAAAAATATAGACTGGAAAGATTTTTTTTTTAATTGAAGAGTTACTGTTAGGCGGAGGCCAGTAAAGGTCAAGTCTAGCACCTGGTGGCTGGGAGATTGTTAAGCAAAGGTTGATAGAGGGTTTAAAGGGCTAAGTCTAGCACCCCACGTCTTGAAAATGTGTGACGGTACAAAGAAATAAAGTTATGTCCGTTACGAGCTAGAACATTTGACGTAATGGTAAGTGTTTGATCGCAACAAGTGATATTAGACACAGATCAATTTAAGTCCAGCAACCAACCGTCTCAAAAAGATGTAGTGGTAAGCCACAAATCGCGACTATATCACACAATGCAACAATCTTAGTTGTCATTTAAGACACTCCAAAACACAAAACTAAACTTACACGTCACCCACATTCTTAACCATTCAATCTATACACTAATGTGTGGCTCTTCATATATGATCTTAAAACCATTCAACAAGTTTGTACAATAATAATGGACTTTAGACGACTTAACCATCACAGTCAATACAGTGGTTACCTTCTTTGATCGCTGCTTCGGAGCAAGTAGCTAAGATGTCATTATATTATTCATATATTTTGGCACACTAAAACCAAATTCCAGTCATTATCATCACAGAATTTTCTTCAATTCGTTGGGGTATAGTATATGTGCATATATAAACTGTTTAAATCTATGTAATTGTAATCATACACGACAAACTTAATAAATGTTGTACGAGATAATTGATTAATTGTCTACACTTTCCTTGTCATTTCCCATGCCCAATTGCCCATGAAGCGAACACTTTTATTGACCTGATTGAATTGATGGGACTGTTTTGTATTACATAGTTTTCCATTCCAGGATCCTACAATTTAGGTGATCGAAATACTATCAGCCAAATAGATTCTAACTTCTAACCAACACTTCTCCCTAAAATGCGAAATCTCTAAAGAGTCCTCACATTCCCGTGAGAGAATTGTAAAGGAATAAATTACAATGTTCAAGAAATATATATTCTCTGTCTCATTTTATATGTCATGATTACTATTCATTTGTTAAATTAACTCTTTTTCTTTGTTTATTTTATTTAGTATTTTTACTTAGTTTTAAATTTAATTTTTTTGTTTAATAGTACTTTTAATGTAGTTTCTAAATATATAAATTTTATATACTATTCCGTAATACTAAACTTAATATTATAAAAAATTAAATTAAAAATAGCTTCAGTCAAATCTCATTAATCGAACTAGACATATAAAATATGATGGATGGAGTATATATTCTTTTTAAAATCATTATTGTATACATGTGTTTTTTTTTTGTCATTTTTTTTTTATTACAAAGGAAGGGGCCGGGTTACCCAAATATAAAAACTACGCCTCAATTGAGGTTCAAACCCAACACTTTCCACATAGGGGAACAAATGTGATACCAATGAACTACAAAGCCATCGGTTTTTTTTTTTTTTTTTTTAAAACGAACGATAATATTTTTCCTTAACAACTAATTTTACTTAAAATATTTAAGAAATCTGTTTATCACTACTTTCTCAATCTACTGAAGGTTTCAAACCCATGACTGCCTATTTGGGAGAGTCATTTCGTGTCACTAAACCACAAGGTCATTGACTTGGTTACCAACATTTTTTCATATACCTAAAGTGGTTAGAAATTCTTTTTTTTTTTTTTATCACAACTCTAAGTGATGCGTCCTACACTGATCACTAATGAGAATATGTGCTAATAAATAAATAAGATTTGAATAGAAACTACAATTATATGAACTAGTTTTTGTGTTGCAGTTGAAGACCTAAATTCATATTAATTCGTTTTAGAGCAGAGAGAAAGTTAAAGTATATATATCAACAAATGGAAGATTAAGATTAACACTTAATCTGAAATGTGTGCATGTCACAATTTTACTTTTGCATTTATTCAAACTAATAATATTTAACGCTTCATATAGTCCCCATTAAAGTAATTTAAAACGTCAATTTTCTAACGTTAGGTAATTCAAAAAGAAGGTATAATTTTTCTTTCTGAATTGAGATGTCCTGTGTGTTACTTCACTTTCTTCATCTCCAAAAGTTCATCCTGGTACAAAAGTGTGAGTTTTTCTATAAAAAAGAAAATGTTCAGACCATGTAGGAATGAGATGAAGGAGAGGGAATGAAAAAAAAAAAAAATACAAAGAAACAAAAATAAATAGAACAACCCCATTAATGATTTTTAAATAGTTTTTATCTGATTAAAAAACATTTCAAGTGAAAAAACCAAGGTAAAACATTATAAGCTACCAACTAATATATAGCTAAGAAGGATTGAGTTTTTTTCTTTTCTTTTTCTTTTAAGGTTTAATAATATAATTGGATACGATTATCATAACAAATTAAATGTTTAGTACTCGCTACTAGAAAATTTACAATTTGGAACAAAATGTTACAATGGAACCTATTCCATTGCAAGTTCGTAACGGACATGGCCAAATGCCAGTCTGCTCAAGGGATCTGTCCATTTTGAACATAATCCTTACACTGCTATTGTCGAGGTTCAAACCTTGTTTTTTTTTTTTTTTTTTTTTTTTTCAAATACTACATATTGAACCAGTGAACTAAGCTCGTGCGCAGGGCCGGATTTTAGGCTGTGCAAGCTGGGCTACCGCACAGGGCCCCCAATTTTAGAGGGGCCCCCAATTTTAGAGGTCCAATATTGAATTTTTACCTAGTTAGTTTAGAAATAAAAGTTAAAAGTTTTCAATTGAATTTAAAAGGTTCTATGAAGAGATGGTAAGAATATGTATTTATTGTATTTTAACTTGGAGGTTAAAGGTTCGAAACTTGCATGTATTGATTTTAAAAATTGTGATTTAATAGGGCCACATTTATTTACTAGAACAGGGCCACCAAAACTTAAAATACGGCCCTGCTCGTGCGTGCCAATAAAATGAAAACTCCGATCATAATAAATGTAGAGCAAAGTATAGAAACAACACCTATTTGGCGAACAACTGGCGGAGAGTCAAGTCCATCATGTCATCCTACCATCAGCATAGCGCTAGTTATTACATAAGTATAAGAAAATAAAAGTGAAGATTAACCGGTCTTAAGAGACAGATTATTAATTAGGTGAAGATTCGAAAGATCAAATTCAGCATCCTTTCATAAAGGTGTTGATTGTTATGCAAGTGCGGGAAAATAAATTTACGACTTCACCAATAAACTTTAATTATCTTACTAAACAAGTTGATTGTTAAAACTCAAATAGGCATCATGTGACCTTCTTCTTTGCACCTACACGGCTACACTAGTCATCATAAAATAGTTATAAAAATTAATAATTATATTGTTGAATGTGAAGTTCCGTGATAGGAATGCCATCACTAATTTATTCACCAAACCCATCACTTTTTCCCTTGTTTACATTTTTCTATTGTTTAAAAATTAACATACCCAGAAAACACTGACCAATTAAGTTGATTGAACGTAATTTTTTTACATAAAAAATAAAAATTGGATTCTTGCTAAAATCAACTTAGTCAAACTTGCCACAAAAAGTCATCCTATTACAATTTATGTAATATGTGCACTACTTGAATAGTGGTTACGAGTTTTCCTGATTACTCAAATAATAATAATAATAATAATAATAATAATAATAATAATAATAATAATAATAATAAGAAGAAGAAGAAAAAGAAGAAGAAGAAGAAGAAGGCAAAGACATCTGTGAGACTACCTCACGGATCCTTTTCCGTGAGACGGGTCGAGTCAAGATGAAATTTAATATTTATACTAGCGAATGTAATACTAAATCAAGAATAAAATGTTATTACTTATATGGCAAACTATAATGCTTTTTAAGAAAAAATGTAATACTTTTACATTTTGATGTAAAAGTATTATATATATTTTTTTATCAAAAATATTACATTTTTCTTTATAATGCAACATTACTTGTAAGGAAAAATATAATACTTTTGATTTAAAAAGTAATACTTTACATCATAATATAAAAGTATTACGTTTTTTTTCTCAAAAGTATTATATTTTTTCTGTAACAAATATTTTATTCTTGATTTAGTATTATATTTGCTAATATAAGTATTACATTTGTATATTGACATAATTCATTTCACGGATAAAATTTGTGAGATAGTTTCACACAAGTTCGTCCCTAATAATAATATGGAGTAATAATAATAGTGAACAAAATAGTCAAAAAGCGCGAGTGGGTGCTTCGCTTTATTAAAAGTCATCACAGCCCCCATGGTGGAGGAAAATGACCATTGCCCATGTTGTACAGCGGCAGACATAGTTCTCGTACATTAAAATATTCGAAAATAATATTATTTAATATTTTTTTTTATATATTATCCACTATGTATATACTAACATAATACGCACAAGTTTTTGAGAAAAACGTGGTCCAATAAAAAGAATAAAATTTTCTATCCATTGATGACGTCAACTTCCAGGTGCTCTCTGGTCTTTTACCTTCTATATATACACCTATATATACACCATGAGAGTTGAGACAGACAATTAAGAATCACACCCAGAAAAGCTTAAAGAGAAAGAAGAAATGAGACCAGCTTCCCAAGCTCTATCCTTCTTCTTCCTCTTGATCATCTGCACTTTTATCTGCAAGAAAACCATAAAGATGTTTCCCGGTTCGGCGTTCCTAAACTACGTCGTTTTCGTGGCCACGCAGTTGAAATGGGCGTGGGATTTTCTCCTCCTGCAATCTTTCTGCCAGGCGCGGCCGGGGGCGGCGTTCAAGTTTGACATGGCGGCGGTTTCCGGGAGCGCCGGGCAGGATCAGCTCGCGGTGCGGCGGTTCCAGGGCGGCGGCGGGGAAGTGGAGTGCGCGGTTTGTCTGTGCAAGGTAGAGGAAGGGGAAGAGGTTAGGGATTTGAGGTGCGAGCACGTGTTTCACAAGGTTTGTCTGGATAGGTGGCTCGGGACGGGGCGGACCACGTGCCCGCTTTGCCGGAATCACGTGAAGCCGCCGCGGGCGGCGGCGTTGGATGAGCTCCACCGCCACCAGGAAGTTATTGTGTTCGACGTGTTCGGTGGCCGGCGCCGGGATCGGTGCACGTGGTGGCTCAGGTGAATGGATTGATCGAATAACGTAGGCTACGCTCGCCGCCGAGCGCCGGGCGGGCGGGCGGGCGGGCGAGTTCTGTATATTAGTATGTATAGTGTCATATGCTTACGCAATGTGCCACGGTTTAGGGGTACGATGATGACGAAATCTCTTTCTTCTTTTGCTTCGATATGTACTTTGGATGCAACAAAAGCCAAAGAAGTTTCTTTTAATTTTTTATGATGGCATTCCATTACTAGCTCCGGAGTCTGTCTCTGTTAATGGATATTAATTAAAGTTTGCCTTGGATTGGCTTTACCAAAAACAAAAATGATGGCATTCGATTATGAATATACAACATCTCCATAGAGCACTAGGTGGGTGGGGGGGTGGATGATATAAAGTGTTGCAAAAATCTTACCCAAAAGGTTGAATCTCCAACGGTAAGGGCCATTCACACTCTGACCCGACAGAGTATGTGGGAGTATGTAAATCAGGGTGACTCAATGGGTTAGTAAACAGGGAGAATGTTGCAAAAATCTTGCCTAGGCACAAGGTGTCTAGGCGGTAGGCACTGGTCCGTTGCATAGCATATCACCCTAATCCGGGGTTTAGGCCGTCGTATAGGTTATCTAAGCGCCGCCTAGGCACTAACCAGTAACCACCTAGGCACCGACTATGCCGCCTTGTTAGCCGATTATCTATTGTGCTCTTCTTTTTTAAATGTGTTATTTCACACAAAACGACATTATTTTTAGCGAAATAACTTTAAATTATTCTAACTCTAGATGTTTTTTAAATAAATATTTAATATTTTAGTATTAACTATTAAAGTATTAAATATTTTATAATTACAAAGTCTTAAACGATTAAATAAATTTTTAGAAAATAAAAAATACACGGGCACCAATGCGCCAATTAATCGCTGCCTATGTGTCTTGACTTTATTTATAAGCACATAATTTATTAACTGAATACACATAATATATTAACTTCTTATACATAATTTTTGAACTAAAGTCGGCAATGCAAAGTGAATCATGTTCCATGTTATAACAATTGTCCATTGTGAATCTTGATCTATATTATATATATAAAGTTAACATATTATGTACTTTCAATTAATAGATTATTTATATTTAATTATTTACATAATTTGTTAACTGAAAATATATGCACATAATCTAAGACTAGGATTGACAACAAACATGATTAACCTGATATAATTTGCGTATGGATAAACGGGTTATGAAAATAGTTAAAGATGGGCATAGATGAGAGTAGTTATATTTACTAATGTACCTTACCCACCATCAAGTGATACTCATTGCATAAATACTCACAAAATAAAATTATATTATAAACTAATCAAATTAAACTGAATTTACTAATTTATAGTTTTTTTTTCAAAAAAAAAAAAAACTGAATTTAAAGATTAGTTATTTAACTACTTTATAGAAAGCAATATCTTAATATTTATAAATTAATAATAATAATAATAAGTAAAATTATGGAAAGCATAGACTTATTAAAGCATATGCAAAACAAAACCACTTGTACTGTGAGTGCACTTTCCTATTAAATTAGAATTATTCGCTTCTATTTCGGCGGCTTCTAATTAAACCTAGCTAATCCTAGCTTGATTTTTCTATTCGAGTTTCTAGAACTTATTAGAATGGAAAAGTATAACCATCAGGGCATCAACCAAGGCAGGATTCTAGGTTTCTTCCCTTTTTCTGCATGAGGGAAAAGAAGATATTTAAAAATTTATAAACCCAACTTTTTAAATATCTATTTTAGAGTCATAAGGTCTTAGAATATTTAATTGATAATATGCCATATATTTTAAATTCTTAGAATATTTAATTTAAAAGAAATATGCTAATTTATATTTAAATTTTTTTATTAAAGTTAATATGTAATTAACAATTAATTATTATAATTAATTTATTATTTATAAAAATAAATATTTGATATTGATGTGGCTATCATTTTATGTGATGAATATAATAAATTATATAATAAGTATCTGGTCGTGCATGTTTTAGTTAAAGTAGTATATTCTCAATTAGGTCCAGGAATTTGAAATTACTCCCACCCCACTTGTGTGTGTCTATATATATATATATATATATATATATATATATATATATATATATATATATATATATATATATATACATTTTTTTTTTTTTTTTTTTTTTGGTTCTTGTGAGGTCAGGTCTTCCCGTGCGGTCAGTGCGGCATACTCCATTAGGTATGCATAAATACACCATACAGTGTTCGGAAATACACAAGAATGAAATGCCAAAAAATACACCACACAACAAAAAAAATACACCACACATAAGGGTGTATTTACAAACATGTACTGTGTGGTGCATTTATGCATACCTAATGGTGTATGCCGCACTGACCGCACGGGAAGACCTGACCTCACAGGAACCTGACCCTATATATATATATATATATGTATATATATATATATATATATATATATATATATATTTTTTTTTTTTTTTTTTTTTGATGGAGTATTTGGGACTCAATGGCTCAGCAGATCGTACCAAATGTCGGTGCGAGTATACAAGGGATCTGTCCACTTTGAACATAATCCCCACATTATCATTGTTGAAGTTCAAACATTGATCTCTTCTTTTAAATAGTGCCTACTGAACCATTGAGTTAGGTTGGTGGGGGCAACTCGCATACTTTTCTATTGATCCTTATCGTGGTATGTACAGCGATATAGGGTATAGCACATAAAAGTGACACCGTATAGTATCAATCAAACATTCCCTTTTCTTCTGATGAAGTTTAATTTCACAAGTTTCAATTTTCATTTCCGTTGGAGTATTAAATAGCTGAGTTTTAGAATTAAGCTGATATAACTCATGCCTGCCAGTTTATGCTTATATTATCTTTCATTTCAAAAATTCTCTCCTAATGTTCAAAGTAAAACTCTTTAATCTCACGTGTGCGGCATAGGTCTAATATTGATACCTAATTAAAAGATACGGAGTATATTTCAATGCAACTAAAAGTCTTGATTAGTGTACATTTATATTTTATATATATTATATGTTTAATATGCACTAATAACACATTAAAAAGTGAACATTAACTCGCACAAATACTCCCGTAAACTCCGAGTATATAGAATTTATAGTTTATTAATTAGCATTGTATGATCAATAATATATTCTTATTGTCTACTCATTGTCAAATGTTGAGCACTAGTTTGAGAAGCCGAGTATAACATCACACTATCGAAACATGACGTTGACTGTTACACAATGCAGATATATAATATAAGAAAATAAAGTTATGTCTTCGCTACTAGTTATGTCTTGACAATTGGTATTAGAGTATACTATCTTCATGTGTATAATCCAGATTTATTACTTAATTTTATTATTTAACTAATACGGAATAATTATATTTAGTTGTTGGGTAAGATAGTCTTTGCAAAGTACGTATCCATGACTAGTTTTAAATAATAATGATAAGTTGAGGTTAATGAATTGTTGCATGGAACCAAAAAGTCTGTGGGTATAGTAAAGTTGCCATTCAAGACTCATACCCTAAACGAGAATAAAATATGTATTGGGGGAAGAGATTAAAATAAGTACGCCAAGACGAAATGTGATTAAGGAATGCAAGAAACGTTTAAAACTGTAATTGGAGATTAATTAATTAAAGTCAATTAATAATAAGCACTCTGATCTCCATCTTCGTGCATGCATGCGCCATGCAAGACCTTTGCCACATGTCTTTTTCAATTTTTGACATTATCATCACCATAAACAATCTGCTGTCGTTTAATTTTGTTATCCAACCTTATTGTTTACTATATATCATCGTACCGCCATTCAAAGTAATATTTTGGTGTCCAATTTCGTTAATTAATTAATTAGTAGCAATATACTGGCTATATGGTCATTGATTGGACTGGTCAAAATAGGAAATTATAAGAAAAAAACATTAAGAAAATGTTAGTAAATGTCAGGATGCAGTGAACTCAAGGATTGTGTATCTTCCCAGAAGATGCTTAGGAGGCGGGCCAGCCAACCAGGCCAAGTCCAACCATGAGTGTTAGGCGTGAAATGTCATGCGCCGAGAATTCAACGATATGTTTTATTTTAATTCAATGTTTTCTCAATCTTGTCCGGTCCAAAAAATTAATGCCCATCAGGATTTGATTAGATGATCACTCATTTGAAATGGTAACAGAACAGTTATCAGATTACATAGTAGTTGGCAATTAAATGTTTACATTTAATAGTGAGAGTGTATTTTAATGTTATTGTATTTAATTATCATGTGAATTTTTTTGTGTTCACTATAAGAAAAATCGTAAAGCCTAGTGCAAAAGTTGACCATCCAATCATGCACCTTAGCTTTCATCACTTTAAAGTAGTTTAAAGGGAAAGGCATATGTAGTGTTGTTCGTGAATCGACAACGGATTATGTTCCGTCACGATTCGTGATTTTTCTTGTAATGATTAACTTATAGTGAAGTTCGTCAATTTATTCATGGTTAGCATTCTCATTTATCAACCATTGAATTTCTATCACTGTGGAACTATATTAAAATTCAAATTTGGCTTGAGTTGCGTCTATGTTCTCGAAAAGGTTTAGCTCGACAAAGCTCTTTAATTAACATGGTACCTTTTGCATACAAGAGTTGATCTTCTAATTAATCTTGTAGTTGCATTAGTTGCACACTTACAAAAACTGCTCTAAGATATAGACGATGTTGGGTTATAATTATGGAGATATATTAGTTGATAGTTTCGTGTAAAGTTGTAATTATAACATACTATATTGCATGTACGTACTTGTGGGTAATAATAAAAAAAACTAAGCGTAATTGTAGGTCAATTGAGACGCATCCCAATATCCCATAATTTACATCTCCACCAATTTTTTGATAGAATGAAGTTGTAAGAGCCCTTATGTTTAGAATTTAAAGAAAAATTAAAATAGCTTTCTAAATATCTAATTAATAAGCTAAGCTATATAAGATATTATGTTAAATGCTTATTCTCCAAAGAATATAAACATAAAGACAAAAGTAAAGGAGCCAAATCTTCTCAACAAAATCATTCACGATCTATGGTGTCACGTCCCACTCAACATTGCACATCAAGCCTCCATTTTGATTTGCCCATTAGATTTTTTTTTTTAAATAATAATAAAATAAAATAAAAAATTGATAATGTGGATGATATGATGCG